TCACATCTTCGCTTATAACTTAAGTTTAGTTTCGCATAATTTTTACATAAGTTGAATGAATGATCCTGGCATCAAATGTGAATTGAACGTTTCACGCTGCGCGAATGCTTTGAAAACGATAGGTGTAACCAATTAAATAGATAAATTTAAACTATAATGAACACAATTCAGTCTAAAATAATTTGAATACATTTTAATGGATTAAATGCGAAGCAAACTCCATTGAACTACAAGCAAAATTGATAATAATATTATAAAATTTTGTGTAACAAATAAAAAAACTTTAGAAGTATACCCCTAGCGACAAATGGAGCAATGTCAATGTAAGCATCTAAATTTACAAGCTATAATGGGAAAAATACTAGTATCAAATACACACAGTACTTTAAGAAGTTGCTTGACCTTGTTTTCGCAACTTCGTCATATTGGTAGGAAGACTTCTAGGAACGCACCTTGTCCTGAGTCCATTGTATGAATAATTATTTCCAAAGTCGGACTGTGGACGTGGTCCATTTCCGGACGTTTCGTCTGCATCGTAGTCAGCATTGTCAGTAAGTTTTGTCATTCATAGCACCATATTACAACTCGTCAAAGAGACAAGTGAAGCCGATTCTTTGACCAAACATGTGCTAAACTGTTATGGTATCTCCCCTTCTGCCCTAGTCTATTCACATTTCCTATATCCTCCTAGCACGCATTCACTGTACAATTTTTACTTGCTTATTTAAATGTGCTATGGTGTGCCCTTTGAGCGGCTTTCATGAGAACTCTCCATACTCCACGCTGGCTTTTTCACCCCCTCATCTTCGCCACCCTTGTACTAGGAATGTTGATCAGAGTCTGCCATATTGTTACGCAGTCAGCCAGCGTGGGGTTTAGAGAGTTCTTAATAAATCAGCTCAAAAAGGAACACCATACCATATTTAAATAAGCAAGTAAAAAATTGTGATAGTGAAGGGGTGATACGAGGATTGGTGATTAGCCCAGGAGGGAAGGAGAGATACCACGATTATTTAGCAAACAATTGGTAAAAGGATCAGCTTCATTTGTCTCTGGCGAGTTGTGGTGGTGCTAAGAATGGCAAGACTCACTGAAGATGCCGACTACGATGCCGGCGAAACGTCTGAAATGTATCACGTCCATGGCCCGACTGGAAATTATCATGCATACAATGGACTGCGAACTAAGTGCGTTCCTCTAAGTCTTCCTACCAATATGACCAAGTTGCAAAAACAAGGTCAATGAACTTCTAAAGATGTATATTTAATATAGCTATGGAGTCTAGTTCTTTGCCCTGAAGTAAACACATGCCAGAATAGTCACCTTGATTTGTAAATATTGGTTTAAAGACTCAATATCTGCTAAGATCAGATTAAGGAAGACCTATTAATACTTCTTCTATATCATCAAATTTTCGTGTAATTTACTGCATGAGACATCAGAAAAATGAAGCCGAAAAACAGATCACCTAAAACGGAGGCTTCAGGAATAGATAAAAATAAAAATTTCATCAAAAGCTTAATAATAATAAGCATACTTATAGCCCGTCTATGCATTACTAGTTCAAATTTCCTCGAGGCATCATCAAGATTGTGAATTCGTTTTGATTTTTTTAAAATTTCTAAGTAGGTATTGAAGACTACAGCCCAGGTTTCGAACGTTCGATCGTTGCTACGAACGAGAAAATGCCATCAGAACATATGAGATCATAAATCATTTCACAGTAAGAATGGGATGCGGCCAATAGGAAAGGTGTCTAACAGGAAATACTTAGTGATAATATAGAATTAATACGAAAATTAAATGGGAAGGACTTTGTTAGTCTCTAAAAGTTCTCTGATGAGCATTTAGCATGACCGAAAATTGGTTTCCATACAGGAAAATGTTATTCCAGCCGGCATATTAAATTTTTTCACTGTGTGTTTTTAAGATGCTGAGATGGCTTCTCAGCACAGTCCTGTGTTTAATCGAAATTCATTGCAGATATCATCAATTATAATATACAGGCAAATATGAGAAAACTATATCATAATTTTTAAAAGCCGGACAGACAGGTTGGTCTTAAAGTGTGGAGATCACAAAGCGATGGGATACTGGCAGATATGACTCGAGAAGACCTTGTCAGTTATTGCACAGAGTATAGGCCTCAAATGAAAAATAAATACCTGTATCAACGGTTAAAAAATTGGATCTAATGGTGACTGCTTATATAATACATTTAATAATTAATCTTAGTTACTACTTATTACTATCAATATTAGTATTTCTTGCTAATTTTAGCCTAAAAATGTCTATATGTACTAAAAAAGTAAAAGGAAGAGGAAAAAGAAAGCTATAAAAATTAAATATTGATAAACAAAAGCTTGGAATTTTAGGATAGGCTAGATATAAAAGATATATCCGATTAAAGGACCACTAAAGACATTAAAGCAAATAAGCTATTGATTGAAATAAATCAGAGTTAACAGCAAACGAGTGCACAGCCACTCATAGCAAATCAAAGGGACTTGATTGGAAAATTCATCGCTTTTAAACTGGTGCAAGTGGTATGCAATGGGAATAAAAAGTAGGTTTAAATACATTATCAATTTAGTTCAGGTAACAAAATACCAAAAAATTTAAAAAAAGATAATAATTTAAATCTCAAGTCTTGTAATGGGAGGCGAATTGGTGGAATAATTAGAATATTGTGTAAATAGGTTTAATTGCTGATTAATTACGGCAAATGACACAAATATTGTTACTTACTTCGGTCAGTAGAAAAAATAATAGATCAATTAATCCGATAAGACGGGGTCCAGCAACAGAGTGACCAACTAGTCGAGCAATCTGCTCTGCTTCACCGAGAAGACCTGTTTCCTTACGCGAGCTGACAAGGCCTGAAGACAGGGCATTCATCGCCAGACGGCATTCACACTGCAACCGAAAATTGGGAACGAGACTAGCCTGCCCTAAAGTCTGGCTTGATGAAATGAGAAGAAGCGCATTGCGTACAGCCAGACGGACGAGCCGTGAAGGCGCACGAAGAAGGCAGTCCCGTGTGAATCCGTACAGCTGAGGAGCCAGCTGATGATGCAACCAGGTATGCCAGGCGCGATCAGCAGCATTCTAAAAAATGGGTGAAATGGGAGAAGGGTGTGGATGAGGCAGTGTATTAATGTGTATTAATGCTGTACATTTTCGGTATAAGTAGTGTTAGAGAATATCAATAATTCTTGTATAAGAGATAAGTCAGCCTAGGTCGCGTAAGGTTGATTTTTCCATAATCAAATGAGTAGGACGTACGATACCATCGAATTTCGCTTAGACTTGCCAGCAAAGAGGATGTCATTTCAGGACTGGACATAACTGCATTTTCGACCTCGCCTGTGCTGATCTCATCAGAAAACTAAGCAGGATTCGATACCAGAGTGTGAGTATCATGGCGATGCTACAAAGCCACTACATTAGGCGAATAAGTGCAAAAGTAGATCACATGAAATATGGTATAAAAGCAGAATTTGATTGGTGTTGGGGTACTTCTCATTTCGTTTAGAAAGGCGAGTGGAGGGAATTCGTAAATTGGCCTGGCCGGAAGCTGTAGGGGGATTGACTTGGAGATGTGATTGAAGATTGGTGTGAATAGGTCTTGGGTGCGCCGCCCTGCGACCCCGATGAATCCTTGTTGAGATTTCACCCGTCATGTTTGGACATCCTATCACACGACACCGTGCTTAGGGATAATTCACTAAAAGCACGAGGGCAAGAAAGGTGACCAACTTCAAGCTCAACTACTTCTCATAGTCCAGCTTGGTCCACTTAGTGAGGCATCCCATTTTTTTATTGGATATCCTCTGCTTTGCATAAATGTTTGCTGAAAGTTAAGTGGCTTCCGACGAAATGTCAAGTGAGTGTAGATGAAGCGTTAACGGATGCAATTAGAACCGAACAACTGTATCCTCCTCTGAAACACTTATGCCTTTGATCCTGCAATGTTACCGCATGTAATTGCGTTCCATTGTACACGAGTTGTGAATGCATTGCTCTTGAAACGTGTGATGTCAGAGTCAAAACCAGATTCGGGCCTAATCAAGCCTCCTTTTGCTCGGTGGTACTTCTCTTTCTTCCTCTAATCCTATCCAACAATCACAAGTAGTTTCCTGTTAACTTCCATCTTTTCAGGGTGTTGACTGTTTTGTTGTTTTTTATCGCTTTCCCGATCTTCCACTTATTGGTTGGTATAGTGCCGATATCCAGCTATGTGTTTGGCATTAGACCAGTCTATTTGGTGCCCAGAGCGAGCTGTGTTCGGCCATTTCCGATTTTTTGACTCACAGACCATTGCAAACTGTTTTGTGCTCATACACCCTCTTATGTATGAGCATGCATTTCTCTCTCATACACAAAATCTTGTAACAGCCCAATCTGGAATAGTAGGAGTATTCTCTAAAAGAAGAGAATACCGAGGAAAGGGTTATTTTCTCTTTATAAATGGTCCTGATGTCCTACCTTCTTGATAATTCGCCTATCTTCTTCGAGAGATTGCACTACGGTAACATAGGATTATGATAGAGTGGTACAACCTCTTATCTAGCCCCAAATATGTATTTCCCTCCATCCTATTTGAAAATATCATATATAATTGTAAGCCAATCCTCGTGGGTAATAATTCTCATTAAGTATAGACAAATTACATGACCTGATTAAAACCAAAACAAGGACTATACAATCCCTTTTCCTGCTATTTTCTCAAGAAGACTTTCTCAAATTGCATAAAATGGCGGACGGTCTGGCGGATAGGATGGATAAGATCCATAGATCTCAACAAAATAATAAATTAAGGAATTTAGGCATTATTTTGAGCTCAAGGAATCGTCGAAACAATAAGGAGGTAGTTAAGCTTAGTACTATTTTTTCTAGCAAAAATAGGGTAAGTAATTTATCCAGTATATCTATAGATGCTGATTATACGCTCGTATTGAAAAGAGGTCTAAACTATGCCTTTCCAAATGAGCAAAATCATTCTATGAAGATAATGGTTGAGTTAATTAACTTAACGGACAAGCTGCCAGAAGAGGCTACGAATAGTATAGAAAGAGAAGTGATTCCTCATTTGATGAAGTAATTGTTTCAAAAAAATCGTATAACTTT